CTCAAAAACATCAATCTGCTGTAAAGTCTTCAGATTCTCATCGTGGAGACGACATGAGTACCTCTCATCATTCAGAAATTTCTGGGTCACCCCCCCGATCTCCGGACCCCACTGATGTTTCCGATGTATGTGACAGTTCTAAGACTATAAAGACACGAGCTGGTAGTAGAACTGTTAAGATGCCACTTAAGACTGAACTTGATAGACTTAAATGTTTTGAGTAGCTATCCAGCAACTCAAAGGGGGGAGGATGTTGGGAATGGCATCACTAAGCCAACGAATCAAAAGCCAGATAGAGACTGACGTCATGGGACGCCAGAGGAAAACGAACAGTTCCGGTTTAGTTAGCTAAGAACGATGTTTGCATGATGTGGCTAGATAGATATTGTAGCTAGATAAATATTTTATATTCTTTTAACTTGTCTTTATGTGTAAATAAAGCTCTTTGCTTAAGTTTAAATGAAGTACTCCATTTATGACAAGATAGCTGTTAATTCATCGGGTAGATGACTTACGAATCCCTTCTGAGCTAGCCATTGTTCGAACGTAACGCCTTACGTAACATATCAAATTGTATCGGATAATTTTTTGGGACTATCTATAATTTCTACAGTTGGATGCAACAAAACGTATTTATCTTTTTTCCCTTGATAAACAAACTGATGTCTTTATGTCTTAGTACTGTAGTTGCATGCAATTTGGATTTTGGCATTTTTACAGAGACTGGCATTTCTCTTCTTGAGCCTTTTACAGTTCCTATAAGGCTTGTGTTTTTGGATTTAAGTGCCTCTGCAAGCTTCAATGTTGTGAAAAAGTTAGTGACATTTCTGCCTTTGTTTTTGCATGCATCTTTTCTTAGAATTTTTCTCTTTTTCTTTTTTATCAGACAAATTATTATTATTATTATTCTGAAAAGAAGGTCAAGCGATTGTTAGGGCACTTCCAGGGTTATCATCACTTTCATTTTCTTCATCTGAATTCAAATTTTCTTCATTAGTAGGCAGGTATTCATCCTCGCTACTCAAAATCGAAACACTCTCATCATTATCATCATTTTCAGATAATTGTTATAAAGATTCCAAAGCTTCCTGAACAGTGTTAAACAGTTCTGAACGACATCCTGACATCTTATCAAACCTTATACTAAATATAGAATAAAATCAACTTTAAAAAAAAAATCTTTCGAAATATTCATTACCATTTTCCACTGCATTCGAATGCAGTTTGCGTTTCGACCCTTAACCAAAAACCTGCAGTATTCCTCTCCTGGTGCAGTCCATTTGAGTAATTTGAGGGTGATGCAGGTATACTTTACAGTTACGAGAAAATGCATCTGTTTTTTTTCGTCATATACACATAAACATTTCCTACGGGTCATACTGACCCGCTTCGCGGTTCTAGGTATAAGTGTTAATAATCAGAAATATATTTATGTGATGAATTTTCAAATTCAATAAGGGCACACCAGCGGCCGAGCGGTAAAGTCGCTGAACACTGGTAGTTCGATCCGAGGTTCGAATCCCACGAACGGGCTGGCTGCATGGGCGTTTTCGTGGTTTTCCCCATGTGTAATGTGTATACGAGCCAGTTTCCCTTAGAAAGTCCTCCACGAAGGCATCCCTCCCCTTAGGCAGATAGCCCTCAAGGCTTTGCCATAATTATACACACACAAATTCAATAAGTTACCGTTTACCTTAAATTAATAAAAGTTATAAAAGGAATTTTTTCAATTAATACTTTTCGTGTGGTTACAAATTAAACATCGGTTTGAGTCAAATTGACCCGCTTCGTGGTTCTAGTATTAAAGTAAAGCCATTTAATTTTTTCAAAGTTATTGGATACTGCTGAATGTTTGAGTATGCAGTAATTCTCTTGAAACTGAGTTGTACATTAAGAAAGAAGCATTGATAATTGTAGGTGAACTAAAAATGTTTGTTGTAATTTGTTCAAATGAAATCATATGCCAATGAGTCCTTTAATGCTGTTGTAAGGTGCTAACATTTATTATGGTAGATAAAATTGCAGTAGATTAAAATAATATTAACATATGTATTTGATATGCAAGCAGAAAAATCTAAAATTGGTTTTCAGCATTCGGTGATTAAAAGGCATTGACAAAGTCAAATGGTGTTACTCACCAAAAGGTATCTTTTAAAGCATAAGTAACAATGGAAATTCCAAAACAAAAATGCAGTTATCATTAATGTATATGGAGAAAAATTTGTTTACAATTTTTTGACCAAAACTTTCACTTCGAAAATTAAATTCGACAAGAATTACAAGTATATGACTTGTGTAAAGTAAATAGTATGCATATGTACCTGAATCTAGTAATTTTAGCACTTTAGATGATTACTGCAGCTGACACTTTATATAATTTAAATATATTGATATTCAAAGCAAATTATACTTTTTATGTAGTGATCAAACAACTTAACTGGCTCTAAGCATAGGTTTGTGTTGCCTCTGCCTGTAACCAACTCTGTGTACCATGTGCTTAGCAGAAAGACAGCAAGTGAAATTGTAGTAGTGATGACAGTGTGTTTGTCTGAGACAAAAGAGATTTAATATATTTTCTCTCTCCTTACTGCATGCCTTCATAGTGTAATTGGAAGGATGCTTGCTAGCAGTTGGGAGATTCCGAATTCGAATCAGGCCAAGGGCATTTTCCATGTTTCCTACTCCAAAATAAACTTAATAACTTGGTAAATTTCATTCCAAAACCACACAGCTGTCACAGATGTGTTTTAAAGATATGCAGCTGAAAGCAGTATCCCACTGAAATCCCAGCCTACACCTTGATGATTCCACCTCTGAATGTGTGATGTCTGATTCATGTTCTGGCCTGATTTTGTATGATTTGTTCTTTACAGATCCTTACATGCTTATCATCTGATTCCAGGGCTAATCTGGATTAATCTATGAACAGCACATTGTGCCCATCTGAAAAAGATCAACAGCTTTGACATGCTTAAATGCATCTTTTATCCATAAAATTGGTTTGATAAAATAAGTAAAAGGAAATACTGCCAGCAATTTGGAATGGCATGCAAGCATGAGTTTCTTTGAAAAACTCGTGCAATGAAAATACTTATTATTCTGCAACATACGTGAAAGTGATTTTATAACATTTCGTGGTGAAAAAAGTAATGTTGTAAAATATCTGATACGAAAAAACATAAATCAGATGTTGAAAGTCTAGACAAAAATCGGAATGCGAGCAGAATTTTTTGTCGCTTAAAATATCCTGATTTTAAACCTAGCATAAAATGCCTTTCACAGAGTTTTTTATTTGACATATATAATATTACAGTGCCACAGATCAGGTTTGCCTTTTGTTTAGGAAAGTTTTCTGATTCAGTTGTTGCAAAGAAGTATTCCTGAGCTAAACTAAATTCTTCGGCCATTTTCAATAAAATGCTTTTAATGAGATAAAAGATAAAATAAAAAATACTGTTTAGTATCTTCCTAATTTCTGTGTATTTAATGCTGATTATTAATGAATTTAGTAAATGAAATATTCCTATATCAAATTGTATTCCTTTCTGTACAGATTAACTACTTTTTATGACTGGCTATCAGAAAGGTGTGACAGACCTTCTGAAAAAACACCAAAAAGAATTAATCATTATCGGTTGTTCATGTCAGTAAATTTAGGAAGCAGGAAAAAATACAGCTTCTACATTCCAATGAACATAGAATCAAATGTTAGCCAATGAGTTCTCTTACTTAAAGAAAAATGCTAAATGAAAAGTGAGTTTTTACAAAAAAAAAAAAAAAAAAAAAAAAAAAAACTTTCACTAGTTTCATAGGAAAGAAATAAGTTTTTTTTTTTTTTTTTTTTTTTTTTTTTTTTTTAACATTAGAAACATTAGAAAGGCAAATGGAGGCTTTTTAAAAGACTTTTCTTGTCTTTATCAATAGCTTTGAACGCATTTCAAGTCATTGTTCTGTTGTAAGCTTGTAAAAATTCGTCAAGCTGATTCAAAATACTTATATTAAGAATACTGGATTTGCTCTACCATTTCATAAAATAAATTAATAAAAATAAAAATGAAATATTAACACAGATAACTATCATGTAATTGTAAATGTTATATACTACTTTTTTTAAAATAAAAACTTATATTTCATTGGCATTGTTCCACATCCATGAATCTGTAATGCTACTATTTTAACCTTTTCCCATGGGGTACACGAACCAATTTTTTTATCTTATTTAGTTTCCTATTTTAACAGGAAGAAGCAGAATTATAAATTGAGTGGGTGTTATACATCCTAATCTATATTAAGGGAAAAATTATAAATCCCAGGAACAGGTTAAGAAAAATGCATGAAAATATCTGGTATGCTCTTGGTTGAGAAAAATTTGAGTTACAATTTCTGTTCAATAATTTTCATATCTTTTACCCATCTGTTTCTTTTAGCATGACGTAAAACACTTAAAATAAATAGAAAATAGGTGTAAATGTAAAAGATGCAGTTTCATGTTTTTGGCTTAGTGCCTGCAATTTATGAACCAGTCAGATTCTAGTAATGCCATTAATATATTATAAGATTTCAGGATTTCCATTCAAGAAGACTTTGTGCACACATACACGATCTTCATTTAAGTAGCATGTTTTTTAGTTTAGAGAAAAGCTTCTTTCAGCATTAAAACTGTTTTTTGGTGCTAATCTAAATCAGATAGTGATTTTGTCACTTTGAAAATAAACTCAAATGTGTGATTTTATTTGACTTTTTTAGAAATTAATATTTTTAAAATGTTAAAAAAATATCATCAAATATGTGAAACTAATCACATAAATTTGCACTAAAGTAAAATTACTGTCCTTGTAATAATTATGTTTTTGTTTGTTTGTTTCAAATACATGTTTTCTTATTTGTAGTGTATGCATTTTTCAAAAAGTCCTGTACATTTTATTTTCATAAATATAATGAATTTGTATGTCTTTCTGTTTTCTTTTTTTTATTTTATTTATTTATTTATTGGTATTTAGACACTTTTTGTAGATAAAGACCTTTGCCTGTGTGATTGTCCTGGTTTAGTATTTCCAAATTTTGTGTCTACCAAAGCTGAAATGGTTGTTAATGGTATACTACCTGTAGATGAATTGAGCCATTGGGTTGAACCAATATCACTGATATCCTTTTATTTTTGGTTCAGAATCTTAAATATTATTTAATCAAAGAAACCTGTGCTAAATATATTATTTTCTGTGAATGTATTATTATTTTGTTTAGGGCAATATTTACTTTTATTCTAAAAAATTTCATGAAATGTTAATTTTACTGTGTTAAACTTATGCTTGACATGATAGTTTAAATAGTGGTAATCTGATATGTTCGAGCAATCAAACTGGCTGATATCATAGGGTTTTCATGGCTCATTCCAGAAGCAAATTTATGAAGTGAGGTACCTACTTCTCTGTTCTCTTAAGGGCCTCTCATCTTAACATAGGGCATGTTTACTATTTTTATAATTTATAAAAGCACCTTGTCATTTTGACTCAAAAATCCACCTCCGAGTTCTTTCCATATGTAATATAAATAGAAGCCATTTTACTTTTGAATGATCTTGTAGGCTTACATAGAATATCCTGTCCTTTGTTGTAAACAACCAAAGTATCTAAAGCAAGTGGAATTGTTTCTGAATTACTTTTCATGTGAACTGGATGTAGATCAAATGTTTTACTTAATTGAGAGGAGGTATTATGTACTTTCATAAAGTGCTATTTTTATTATGTGTGAAGTGTGTTTGAAAAATTTATGCATTGTTATCAACTTGATGCAGTGAACTTACTTAACAAATACTTATGAAGAGTCTATCTTGATTTATTCGGGGGAAAAAAAAAATTACAGCAAAACTTGTCATGTTTGGCTACATCAACTCATCATGTCTTTTATCCAATTTTTTTTTGGTGAGTAAAGGTGTTTTTTTTTTTTTTGGGAGGGGGGAGGGGGAATTTGTGTGCTGACCATATTCTTTGAACTTGATAACATACCTGAAAATGTTTTAAAATGAGTTTGGTAGATTATGGCACACTAAGGCTCGCTGCCTAAGGGAAAGGATGCCTTTGTGGAGAACATTCTAAGGTAAACTGGCTCATATACACATGGAGAAAACCACCAAAATGCCCATGCAGCCAGCTAGTTCATGGAATTCGAACCTCGAACCGAACTACCAGTGTTTAGCGACTGCTGGTCTCTGGTGGGCTCAAAAGAGATAAGAAGTTGTTTCTTTCATTAAAACTTATCTTACACTTTAAAATTATACCACACCAAATTTTGCCTTGAATCGAACCCAGGTCTGAACTACCAATGTTCAGCAATTTTACTACTCGGTCACTGGTGGGCATTTCCAAATGAGATGGACTTGCTTTGTTATGTTTAGTTTTGTGCCTGCATGTGACATTTGGTTATATCACTTATAATTGTATTTGGAATATTTCTGCTGTACCTTAGCAATATGCACCATGGCATTCACGTTTTTTGTATCATGATACTCCAGAGCTAAGCATATGTGACCACATAAAACATTAAATGAAATTAGAATTTTTTTAAGAACTTAATGAATTCCTCTATGGGCTGAACATAGCCCTTTTATAAAAAATTAAAAGAATTCTTCCATGTTCTTATGGTTCAGACCTAGGTTAAATTTCTTTTAGACATAGGTTTGATTCCAGTAAAGCTGTGATTAGCTTTTCTAGAAATTCTCACTGCAATCCTCATATTTCCAGAATATCACCTGAACTGAAAGTGATTGAGGATAACATTGTGCAACCCTTTAAATGGTAGTGAAGAATATAAATAATTAAATATACTCCTCCTGTGATCTATTTTGTGGTACAGTAGTCAATACACCACTTTACTGAAGACTGATTAGATTCCATTGAGGTAATGTTAGTTCAATTAGAATTTTTACTTAACTCCTCCTAATATCTTTATACTGTAAATATTATGAAATACTTATGTAGACAATAGCATATATAAATTTATAGCCATTTATAATTAAAATCACTGTGAACCAGTACCTAGAATATTTTATAACTTATAGTTTTTTAAACTTAAATATATAGTACAGTCAAAAGTCGTTAATTCAGACACCCATAATCCCGAATGATCTATAATACGGACCTCAAAGCTACAAACTTTCTGCGCATGCGTCGCGTTGATGCATGCGCGTAAGACCTTTACGGCTGCAAATATGTGTGTGCGCATGCGCAAAATACGTTTACAAATGCGCGTTTAATGTATAACGGATGATATAAGCTAAGCTAAAATTATCTAATTCAGTTAATGTTGCAGATTGTGTGGTTCCTTAATCTTCGAATTGGATCCGGCTTATTATTTTTTGCAGACTGTTAGAGCAATTTTATGAAAGTAAGCTTGAACTTTCGATTATGTCAAATAGAATTTCCGATATATATTTACTAATATGTAAAGGATCTACAAAGCGAAAGTATGTTTCGAAGTCCATTAAACAGAAAGTGGAATTGCTGCAAAAAATGGATAAAGGCATATCCTTTATCTAACCATTCCGAAATCTGTTTATCAATTTCATGCTGCTCTGGGGGGGGACGCCGCGCAATGAATTGGAAGTTGATCTGTCAGCACTATCCTTTTCTTCAGGGCAGATATTTTTATTTTATTTGGCTTATAATTCCTTACTAAATGTAGTATTTCATCTCAATGTACTCCGTCTTTGATATGATTTAAATCAAATTCCTCGTCATTATAATTCGCTTCCAATAGCGAAGAAAGTTACACAGAGGTTATTGAAAACAAAAAATTTCGATTGACAAATTAGTCGGTATTCTCGACACAGCAATTATAGGATTTGAACAGCGGAACTTTGTAACTGAACAAGAAATTATGTCTATTTATAGAATTAAAGAGAAAGTATTATCACATAAAAAATGAAGTAACCTAAGCAACTTACATTAAAAGAAATGTTTAATAAAGTAAACAAATAAATAATAAGCTTTTTCTTTTTGTAAATTTTGATACCCTTTAGCTCATAATTGTTCTTTATTTCATAAATTACGGTTTCATATTTTTTAATTTTATAATTTCTGCATGCCATCTTACCAGATTTAAATTGATGATCTATAAACCGGAAAAATCGATAATCCGGAATCACCGAAGTCCTGACGAGTCCGGATTAACGACTTTTGACTGTATTATATGGTTATCTTCGACCACTCGTCAATAAGTAAACAAATAAATACAGTCAAAAGTCGTTAATACGGACTCGTCGGGACTTCGGCGATTCCGGATTATCGATTTTTTCGCATTATAGATCATCAGTTTAAATCTCGTAAGATGGCATGCAGAAATTCTAAAATTAAGAATATGAAACCGTAATTTTTGAAATAAAGAACAGTTATGATCTAAAGGGTATCAAAATTTACAAAGAAAAAAAAAAGCTTAATATTTATTTGTTTACTTTATTAAACATTTCTTTTAATGTTTAAGTTGACATAAGACATAAGTTGTTTAAGTTGCTTCGTTTTATGTGATAATATTTTGTCTTTAATTCTATAAACAGACATAATTTCTTGTTTAGTTACAAAGTTCCGCTGTTCAAGTCCCGTAATTGCTGTGCCGAAAATACCGACTAACTTGTCAATCGAAATTTTTCGTTTTCACTAACCTCTCTGTCACCTTCTTCATGTCTTTATCCATTTTTTGCAGCAATTCCAATTTTTGTTTGATGTACATCGAAACATACTTTCGTTTTGTAGATCCTTTGGGAGCTCCAGCATCGGAAATTCTATTTGACATAATCGAAAGTTCAAGTTTACTTTTATAAAATTGCTCTTACAGTCTGCAAAAAATAATAAGCCGGATACAATTCGAAGATTAAGGAACAACGCAATCATCAACATTAACTGAAATAGATAATTAGATAATTTTAGCTTATACCGTCCGTTATACAAAAATCGCGCACGCGAAAACGTATTCTGCGCTTGCTCACACGCATATGCGCAGTTGTAAAGGTTTTACGCGCCCGCGTAAACGCCTATGCACATGTGTCAACGTGGCACATGCGCAGAAAGATTTTAGCTTTGAGGCCCGGATTATAGATCATTCCGGATTATGGGTGTCCGAATTAACGACTTTTGACTGTATTAAGCTTTTTTTTTTTTTTTTTAATTTTGATACCCTTTAGATCATAATTGTTCTTTATTTCATAAATTATGGTTTCATATTTTTAATTTTATTACTTCTGCATGCCATCTTACCAGATTTAAACTGATGATCTATAATCCAGAAAAATTGATAATCCGGAATCGCCGAAGTCCCGATGAGGCCGGATTAACGACTTTTGACTACTTTTTCCTTTATCCATATATTTTAAAAAATAGTTTATCCTAGATATTGTATTTTTTCAGTGCATGAAAAATATGCAAATATTTATGTCAGTATGATTTAATTTCACTGAAACTACCTACTTTTTAGAGTTAAAAACAATTAGCGTTCAGTGTACTACTTGAATATTTGCATAACTGTTAAACATGACTAATTAAGAGTTAAAGATTTTTCAGAGTTCAATAATTTGATTCAGTATTGCATAACAAGATGCATTGCTTTCCTTCATGTTTAGTGTATTTCTGTATGTATTATTCTTAATCATAGATTAAGTTACTAATTTAATCCCACGGAATATTCTTGAGTCTACATATTCTGTAATGCTGCCTTCTCCTGCTGAAGGTAAAGATATCAATAGTCAACCCACAGCTGAAGAATTTTTAGATGCCTATGGATGTAAGTACTTATTATATTCCTCCTTTCTTTATCTCTTTGGAAGAGATTAAAATTTCAACTCAGCCAGATACAGTCATTTTTATAGTGATGCTTTATCCTATTAACAAAAATTTTTTTAACTTCAATTCACTTACAAATGATTTTCATTTAGAGAAAAAGTTCTGTGAATGAAGATCTAACTTTTTATGTTGATTTCTACAGTGAACAATTCTAATTAATTAAATGCTGACTGTATTCTGTATAATAAAAAAATAAAAATTTCACATTTTTATGTGGAAAAATTCATCAAGTAATGGTTTCAAAAATGCTAGGACCGACTGCATATTCAGTGAAGGATATTGATGCACTTTTGATATGGAGCCAGTAACCGTTAAAAGAAGCTGTTGTCTTAACTTTTGGATTTAAGTCATTAATAAGCATGAAAAAATAATCCAATTCAGTAAATTTATTCTAATATTTCCAAATATTAAATTTTTTTTTAACTAAACAACATTGCATTACAGTAAAAAAACATTAAAATATTTGTCCCTCAGGGTGCATTTAAAAGATTTATTTTATTTTTATGAAACTCTGCTTTTTCAAAAGATTGAAACTTTTCATAAAATTCTACTGTAATTGGAAGTGCATGTCTGAAGTCAGCATTTAAGGAAATAAACCAGTAGCTTCCTTTTCAAACATCATCATCATCTCCAATGTATTGCTGTGTCATGCTGAAAAATATAATTTCATCATATATTTCAGAATTTTGACACATCTTCCACATTCTCTCACGTACACATCTGAATGCATTCTCTAATGAAATTACAACAGTATCTCAGTAAATATCAAGAACTACTTAGAACTTCAGAATTAGAATTCAGAAGTGTGTATGCCACATGAAGGTTAGCATTAGGCAGTTTGCATTAATAACAACAAATGGCACACTATGGTTTTTTTTTCCCCTGCAAACTATATATTATTTCTTTTATCATCTGGGATTCTCATCTCATATTGGAGCTGATGATGTATTTATTAAGGGAGCTGATGATGTATTTATTAAGAAATTACTATTTATCATCATAAATCTGAACAAAAATATAGTTTAATCATATATGCTGGTTTTCATTTTGTTTCGCATGACATTCTTTTATTCTTTTTCATTGGCCTGTGAGTTGCTTTTGCTTAGTTTTCTTGTCAGCAGAGAAAATCTTTGCTAGAGCATATTTTTAAATAAAAATGAAATGAGTTTATGGTAATCATTGTAATTGTTATCTACAAATAATATTTTAAATGATTTTGTTTTAATGTTCTATCTTCTCCCATTAGATAACAGAGGATATATGACTCAAAGAGGACTGCCAAATAATGCACTTTCTGCTCGTCATATATTGAAGGATTTTATTGATGGAAAAATTCTGTATTGTTATGCACCACCTGGAATAAAACAAGAGGATTATCATAAATTCCCTGATGTTCGACCTGTGAAGTCTGTGCAAAATACAGCAAAAGTAAATTTAAAAGAAATTTTATAGTTAAATTGGAATAAATATTATAGTCTACCTAAAGGTTTGCAAAATTTCTTCATAAAATGATTGTAACATACATGAGACATGCTTTTCTTTCATAATCTCCGAAATATTCTCTGTTGGATTGAAATAGCAGTTCCAGGATCTTACCTTGTTTGGAACACTTAACAAAGTATTTTTTATATGAGCATTTAATATGCTGTCATAAAAAGTATAACATTTGATATGCTGTTATAAGACATGATTTTTTATTAAAAAAATTAATTTACTTTAGACCTTATGTTTTTCTATAGCCTCTGATATATTCTTTATTAGATTCAAATTCTATTTCCAACTATTCTGCTTCATTTGGAAATACTTGACAGAATAATTGTTTTATAAATGCTACTATCAGTGTATTTTCATAGATTTATTTTTAGTGCTAAATCTTCATTTAGAAACACATGACAGAATAATTTTTTATAAATGCTCTTAATACTATCAGTGTTTTTTTTTTTTTTTTTTTTTTTTTTTTTTTTTTTTGTAGATTTATTTTTAGTGCTACATCATTTTCTTTTAGTTTCATTTTAAAATTTGCTGTAAAACAATTGAAATGTAAGCAGATGCTTATTATAATGCAGAATATAGTTCATTTAGCAAAGTTTTGATCTAATCTAACCATTTAATAATTTGTAGTAAACTGGCAAAAGTTTATTAAAGCCTTTTGATGTGTTTATCGGGCTCTTTTTTAAGTTGGAAACAATTATGCCCATGCACCCTTCTTTAATGTCATGCATTTTCAGTGTCACTTAAATTGTGAAACACAGTAATCATGCTGTAAATAAAATAAATAAAAAGTGTGCTGAACATAAGCAAATTGCTTGAAATTGCTATCTATTTAGAATTTAGTAAATTGTTATCTATTTAGAAAAAAAAAAAAAATATGTATATAGTTTCACTTGTGGTAAAAAAAAAATTGGTACTTTTCCATTAAATGTGCATGGTGCATTTTCTGTAGCCTGTTGGCATATTTTGGCTTTTCGTTTCCATACACTGTTGGCTTCATACTAGATGCATTCACCCAAAGTTTGTTGTTCCCCCGCCCCCAACTCTTCTTAACTTTTTTATTAAATTTCTGTTGGTAATCTTCTTCCTCGATTTCTGGTGGTTTCATCAAGGAGAAATATGATGAAAAAACAAATAGATGAAAACAGTAGTTATATTTATTGCATCTGAAATGATTAAATAAAATATACAAAACTTAATTTTAAAATAAAATTAATTAAATACACTAAAAAGAATCAGACTGAACAAGAGGCATAAAATTAAAAATGGCATTTGGACTAGTTAGGAACATTTTATCTTTGGAATACGTACGATGCTTTATGAGTCCAATTAAATAAGAGTCTAAACGTTGATGGGCAGTCCCTTTTTGGCATTTATTGCACCATTTTGCATAACAGATATGGCATTTAGTGGTCTCAGTGAAATGTTATGGATGATTTACTGTGAAATGTTCATTATTGGCAATTTGGAAATCAGAAGATTTATATCCAATTCAGTAATCAGAAAATGTGATAGTTTCATCCTCAACATTTTATGCCATTGTGACATTTCTCAAATTTCTGAAATTCATTTGCAGTAAAAGGAATAGCTGTGATTAAATGAAATGCTGGTGATTAAACTTGATTTCAGGGACAGCAATGTGAAGACAAGTGTTGTCAGAAAAGAAGCTGAACCAAACTGGCAATGCTTAATGCTGAGGTAATAGTCCTGAACAAAAACACCTTCAAGTGGCAAGACTGTAACAGAAAAATACCAGAACAGTATAGAAGTAGAAGTAGTTGCCTGCATTTTTTCCCTAGTTTGCAAACTTTTGCCATCATTCATACAGTAATAAACATGAAATATATATAGTTCAATTTCAGTGTATTTTTTACTTTGTCAGTTTGTATTATTGAGTATGATTAAATTGAATTCTGTTTTAAATTTTTGATTAAGAAAAGTGTTCACTTTCATATTTATAAAAAAGGGGGGAGAAGCATCATCATCATTAATACACGTATTTTGTTGCATAAAGAGCTTTGAAAAAAGTCACCCATGTGTATTATTATCTTAAATTTTGATCTTAGATTGACTTTCTCCTGTAAATTTCTTGAAATAAATAAAACAATATGCATAAATTTGTAAGCACATTCTATATTACAAACTGCAGTGAATTCATCAAACGAATTGATGTAATCATAAAAAATAGGAGTTGAATATTTAAATTCTCAATTTCTTGAAGTTTTATTTTATTTTTATTTATTTTTTATTTATTTACTTATTTATTTATTTATTTATTGACAAAAAGAAAAATTTTGTTAACAAAATAAAAAATATTTTAAATAAATTTAAATTTCATATTTATCTAAACAATAATAATAGTATTCCAAAGGGGGAAAAGTTCAAATTTATAGCATTTATTTTTTTCTGAAACTTCAAGTTTGGTACCTTGTTGGTTATGCTTTGTAATTTAAATATATTGACAGCTATATATTAAATTCTTAAACAAAATTTCCTTTAAAATAGTTCTAACAAGTTTAATTAATCATTAAATAACTTACTTTAATTTAAACTAAAAGTTAAAAAAAAAATCATGAAACCTCTAAGTTTTCATTGAAGATTTATGAAGTAGGATGAAACTTGAGAATAAATAATCACAACCTATTCTCTTTTTCTTGTTTATTAAATTTTTCTTAGACGCACATGTAAAAGTACATCTGTTTTTATGTAAAATATTATGACTTCTGTATTTCTTATGATAGCTTGTTACTTGGTGGCATTGCAATTCTGCTAATATTTGTAACTTTGGAGAAAAATTACTATAAATTATCTTCATCATGGCTTATAGACACTCGTTGGTTAATCATGTTTTCTTATTAATTTACAGCTATGAAAAAAGTTCACGTATAAATGTATTCCCAAACAAAGCAGTTATTCTTAGTATAAAAATTCATAACTGAGTTATTTTTTTCTAAATATTAAAGTAAAGAAGTTATAATATATGAATAAAAGTTAATAAAATCTGTATCTTCAAATCTTTGAATAATATTTATATCACACTGTTAATTAATTACCTCCCTTTATACATTTTCTAGTGCATTATTCATGTTTGTTTTTAATAGATAGGAAAGTAATATAAACTTGGACTTCAAACATTTAAAACCTTAAAATCATTGCAAAACCATATTTGCAACAAATATGTAATTGAAATGTCTTTGTGGGCCACATAAAATTGCTTTGGGACTGCTTGTTGTTTGAGACCACTGGCTTAGATCACAATCATCAAACATGTGTCAGCTCTGAGTGCCACACTGCATATGTGCTTTTATAAAGTTTTAAACAAATTTTGATTTTTCATGATTTTGTGGTGAAAATTTTGCATTTTGAGTCAAGTGTTTGTCAAAGTTAACTCTTAAAATAATTCTTCCTCCTTTTCATTTGCTTGGATTTAAAAAGAATCTGGAAATTATAAAATTCCGTTTTCTGATCATCATGTATCAATATTATTCAGATTATAATTTAAACTAAGGGTAAAACATTAATTCTCCCTCTCTATTCTAAAAATAGCAATAACTTTTCTGGATTGTGTCATTTCTAGATCATTCTATGACCTGCACAGCTCTGATGATGTAATAATTGCGAACTGAAACTACCTTTGTAAACCAAAACTTTTTCTCTTCGCGTGCTTCCATCTTTCATAACTACGCATTTCAGCTTCTGTCTGTGCTGCGCTTGGACACAATTTCACTACGCTGCTTCCTACTGCAATAATATCAATAATGGGTTCTTTTCCGTTTTGCCGGCGCATTAAGTGGCCAATAATGGTACAACTGATGTCAAACGGAATATCTTTGCTAGTAACCTTTTACGCCGCATTTTCAAAACAAGTCGCAACCATTTCTTTATTAGATTGATTGTTTCTTTCAATACTGGCATACAATTACATAGCATTGTTACAAGATAGTTAAATTTTATGCCCTAAGATGATTCGCAGTAATTAAGTCAATTGGAATGCAATCACACTGCTCACCCGAAAGCAAAAATATAGAAAAGACAAAATCATGGGTTAAATTCATCAATTCTAATCAGTATGCACTAGCGAAGTAAAGCACTACGGTTTTACATAATTTCTGAGTAACCTGTTCATACGAATTGAAATAATTCTTGCATTTAAACTTGTATTTCAAATTAAAATTTAACTTGAAATTAATGTATATAATTACTGAGAGAATTAGATTTTTGAAGCATAGTTTCCATGAGATGAGATCACTTGGGGTCACGTGATATGAATCGGTGAATCAGGATGTTGAACCATGAAAGCGTAGTAAATTCTTAAATTAATGTCTTTTTACAAATTTATTGTCTTTATTTGTTGGCATTTTACAAAATTTTAAACCATATTAAAATGACTATGCCTTCAAAATAAAAAATTCTTAGAACTAACATTTTTTATGTGTATACTGTATGTTGTCGTCAACAAAGTCTGCTTGGCGAGATTTGCGGCGGTGAAACAGAAAAGTACCCAATAATGTAAATGTTCTTGAACAGGCACGATTAGGGTGCCAAGTGATCTCTGGCCACACAATGCCAGTTGGAAATAAAAATGGAATTAAAATCTCCTCGATTGCCAAGTTTAATTGACAAAGTCAATACATTAGCTTACGATGCAATCAGAATACTTCCTCTTCGATATTGGATAACTACGCATCAACAATGCTCCATCTTTTCCTGTGCTTTTATTATGACAACTAGCAGCTTCGCTGCCAGCCTTTGTCTGGCTTTTAAATGTACTGGAAAAATGGCTGAAAGGAACACCAAACATTAAATTTAAAATCTGCGTAGAATTTTACTCTTCAGAACAACTTCATAAAAAAAGTCATTAGGTATAACAAAATTACAATGAAATAAGCAATATCCCTTAATACAAATATTAATTATCCTAATAAATAAATTAACCA